ATTGGGCTAGTGACCTGTAAGGGAAGCAGGGATCTTCTGTTTGGGTCTGAGGGAGACTGGATTTGGGCTCCTCAAATTCCAGTGAGTAGGGCCTGAGTGTGGTGGCCTCTTTGGGAACTGGGGACAGGGGTGAGGAGAGAGGAAGTGGGAGGGTGGATAGTGCAACGTCTAGTGATCCCTCTCTGGTGTGGGAGGTGGATTGAACCCTAACACACAGAACCCCAGAGCTGTCCTAGGAGAGCCACCAGGGGACCCTACCTCAGGCACCTCAACACAGGGAGGCAGATACTCATCCCTACCAGGGAGCCTGAGTCCTGGTGGGCTGTGCCATGTTCTCCATAGTCCTTGATTCGTTTGTCGATGCACTGATCCACTGACTCACTCAGTGGCATGTGTTGAGCACTGGTCCAGGTTATGCTGAGTCCCACACCCATGTGTCTGCAGCCTGGGCTTCTGGGGGTCTCACTTGCCCTCTTCTCTGCCTTTCTCCAGGTGACAAAATTTCCTACGGATACCAAGGTTGTAGCAGTGTGTGTATTCCTATGATGCTCCTGAATAGCAAAGTTGCTGTGGAATACAAATGCTGCAATAACTCACCTCTGTGCAACAAATTCTAAAGACAGGAACCAGCTATTACCCTGATCTCATGAATGCTGATGTATACAATTTTTATTTATTGCAATAAAAGATTTGAAAATGTTTTTGAGCTTTGTATAGCGTTTATGTCTAGGTAGAATTATTTCTTCAGGGTAGATTCCCCACTTTATTTCAATACATAACATTGTCTCTAGGTTTCCTGTTCAGTCCTTGGACCCATGTTGCTTAAATCTGCAGAAATCTCTACAAATGTGCATCGACCCTTGCTCTGGTCTGCAGAACTTCTAGCCATCTCTTAACTCCTAGGACTTGGGCCTCTGTTCTGAGCCTAGTGGCACCCTGTCTCTCTCCCTTTCTCCCTTCCATCTCCTTCTGTCCCTCCCTCCCTTTCTTTTTTCCTTCACCCTCCCTTACTCTCCCCTTTCTTTCCTTCCTTCCTTCTGTTAGCATTTACTGAGTACCGACTGTGTGCCAGGCAGTGCGCTAGGCCACTGGGAAGAAATAAGTAAGAGAATCTCTCTCCTCAAGGGACTTACTGGGTCAGTGGAAGGTCAAAGCAATAAAATAGGTAGTTATCGTACAACATAGTGAGCACGTAATAGAATGCACGGGACGGTCCATAGTTGGAACTACTGCCCTAGGCCAGAGCCTTAAAGTAAGGCTGTATGGAGGAGCTTGAATTTGACTGATTAAAAAAACCACAGGAGTTAAGCCCGTGGATAAGGGAGGAAAGGAACATGCGAAGGAACGGAGCTGAGAGCAGGGGCTGCTGAGTGCACCGTCAGCGGCTGGAGAAGCTCAGTGGAGAGCACGCCTGGGACATCAAGATGTAGAGAAAGGGGGCGCGTTATAAACGACCTCGATGCCACATCTAGGAGCTGAGGACTGATTCTGAGGTGGTGAGGAGTCACTCACGGACTGTTTGCACGGGAGGGTTTTAGCAGTGATTGCTAGTTAGCAAGGCAAAAAATCTGTGGCGTGGGGAAGGCAGGTGTGAGGCAGGTGCACGAAGGTTGTTGCCTTTACTTGAGTGAGAAATGACAAGGGCTTGATGTTAAGATGGAGAATGAGAGGTTAGCGTGGGATGATTTTAGTGGTAGCATCTGTAAGAATTAGTAAATATTGGATATGTGTGTTTGATGTGTTTGTGGTGGCAGAGTCTCCTCAGGTGACTTGTGGGTTTTGATTTGGGGTGACTGGATTAATGGTGGTATAGTCATTCACAGAGAGAATATTAGGTTCTCCATTTTTTCTCCAATTACTGCTACTTTGACAGCAGGACAAGCAAAGAGCGTTACAATGTGGAGGGTCAAAACTTTGTGACCAGCAGAGAGAAGAGAAAGCTGCACAGACAAAACGTGATTGATTTGGAAACAACAGACACCTGGATTGATAAAAGGAGACTGGAAGAATAACTAAACAAATCCTCAGTGCAAAGAGGTGCCAGGCTGCCCTAAATGTCTGTGGGCATCAGAGTGGCCTCTGAGTTCTTTGGGGAGCCAGAGTCCTGCTGTCTAGGGAACAGGGCTCTCCCTGTCAGTCCTCCCGCTCACAGATATGTAAGATAACTGAGCGTGGGTAGAATGAATATGCTGTTTGCACATATACTAGAGGGTGGAGTTGGTGTTGAGGTCATGTGGGTCGGAAGCACCCAGGCAGGAGCTATGGGGTCTGCAAGGCCTCTGGCAGCCCAGGAGATGACGGGCATCCTGTGTGTGCACCGCACCAGCTCTGCAGAGGCAGCTGCTGGGTGCAGCTGATCCAGCACCTCTCAACTCTCACAGTCTTCAAGACCACTGTGACCTGCACAGGGGTCCCCTATAAGGAGAAGTCTCAGCCTGCTCCTGCTTCAGGCCCCGTTTCCTTTTCCTTTGTATTGCCAGATGCCGGTGGGATAGTCTTCAAAATTAAACTGGGGTGAAGAGTGGTGGCCATATCTAGCTCCAAGTATACTGTCTCTATTTTCAGACCCCAGTCAGGAGTCACACTGGTCGCCACTTCAAAAGGCAGCATCTGGTAGGGACTGTGAGGTTCTGATGCCGGGTGTTCTGGAGGCAGGAACCTGAAAAAGGGGGAGTCTTCGGCAGCTGGAAAGGGTGTGGAGAGTGAAATGGGCTGTAGACGATATGTTAGCTGGAGAAGGCCAGCTTGTGTAACAAAAATCTCTAAACATCAGTGGCTCAAACAACTAAAAAATGATTACTAGCTCATTCCACCCCAGCTCCTTCCAAATTTTTATGCTGCTCTTTTTAAGACAGTTTCCAATGTCTCCACAGAAGGGAAAAAAAGCATGGGAACTCTCCAGAGGGTTTATGACCATAACTTAATAATTATAAACATAATTTCTGCCTATATTCCTCTGTACTCTCTGTCTCATGCTTCTGAGTGCCCAGCAGGGACTGGGAGCATGAGAATCATGGCAAGAATTGACTTTGCTCTGGCTTCTGAAAAAGAGAAAGAAGGGGAGACTGGGATTGGGTGGAAGGAGAGAAGAAAGAGCAGGTACTGGAAGGGGGCTGGGGCAGCATCCTAGAAGCTGTCGGACTGTCTCTCTCAGAGCCTTCTCTTGGAGGGTCCTCTCCTCTCTCTGCTGCTCCCAGCTCCCATGGACTACCCTCTAGACCTCTGTTTCACACTTGAACATGCTCAGGCTCCACTCAGTGAGCCCGTGATGACCCTGCAAGGCAAGGCCTGCACACCAGGCTGTGTCCTGTGGCAAGTGCCTTCCTGAAAGCTCAGGCCAATTCACAAGAGAATCACAGTATAGGAAGGCTTTTCCTGCATATTAAAGGGAGGCTTTTAAATACTTTGGTTCCTGTCAAGGAGCACTGTCCCTCATGAACAATTCCCTCATTCCTTCCTCTTTTGAGAAATTTTTACTAACTTCATTCAATCAAATCATTGAAGTCAGGGTAGCCTGTCGTCACAATTTTGAAACTCTTGACAGAGTCTGTGTCTCCCTGACCACTGAGAACCTCCCCGGGCTTTCTCTGACCCACCTCCCAGTCTTCTTCTCCCTGTCAACCTCTTCAGGGGGCCTCAGAGACCCCACATCCTCCTCAACACAAGGACCCTGGACATCCCCTCAGCTTCCATGTGGCTGCTGGGTGTGGCAGTAAGGGCACACTTCCACCTGAACCCCAATACCACAGCCTGTCCTGGATTCTTCATATAAAGTGGCCATCACAGAGCCTGGCTGCCACATTAGCACAAGATGCCTGAAATAATGCAGTATTCCTCAGGAGGATTTTCCAGATGATTTTATAGCATGATTTAATATGTCCCGTATTAAATATCCTTGTCCCATGAGGATATTTGGTGTGTTTGATACTGCCATGCACTGTCATTTGGTAGACAGTTACATATTAGGAAAGATAGTGGGCTTTGTAAAGTAATTTTTGGCCAAAGTAATTACCTGTTTGATTAAGGGGTGAAAGGGATGTTAACGTCTTAGGAGGCAATATAAGTTCTGTGATGATGCTTATATTAACTTATTTTTCCCCCCTATGTTAAAAAAAATGTTAACCAAATGTCAAGGTGGTAGTTTTTCTCCCTTGTGAATGAATTTGACTTTGGGTTAACTTCCTGGCTCAGTTTCCCTGTAACCTAATGAGAAGTTATTTCTACTGTCTTAATGGACATTGTATATGCTCTGGCAACCTGGTCAGGGGACATGTCAGCTGCATTACTAGTAATCTCTGCCGGTGTTTCAAAAATGACTCCTGTTTGGTAAGTTGCCTCTGCACCTGGCACGCCCTTTGTGAGGGCCATAGAAGGTAAGTTCTACTCCTGGGTTCTCAGAAGAGATGTTGGCTCTTGTGGGCATGCGTCTCACCAGTACTCCTGAGCTGTTATCTTAAAGATCTAGAAAATAATACAAAGGTATTATTTACATATACATATTTATATACACATATTTTATATATACATTGAGGGACACTGTATAGCCTTCCATGAGGACAACTATAAAAGAAATTCCTGTTAAAATATCAATTAAACAGTAGGTGATACTTACTCAACACTTGAGAAGGGGCTGTAGTTTTTATATCAAGCAATTTATTCAAAGGTTTAAGCCTTGGAAAGTTTTAAAGTATTTTGCCAACCTTAAAAAATTTTTTTATTGTGATAAAAAAAGCCCCATAACATAAGTTTTTCATCTTAACTATTTAAAACTGTACCATTCAGTAATAAGTGTATTCACATTGTCGTAAAAAGTTCAGATCTCCTGAACTTTTTAATCTGACAGTTCTGAAATTCATTAAACAACTTCATCTCCGCCTCCAACCATAACCTCTGGTAATCACCATTCTTCTATCTCCACAAATTTGACTACTTTAAATACCTCATATAAGTGCAATCATAGTCTTTTTTGTGACTAGCTTATTCCACTCAGCAAAATGTCTTAAGTTTCTTCCAGGTTGTAGTGCATGACAGGATTTTCCTTCTTTTTAAGGCTGAGTAATATTCCATTGTATGTATGTACCATATTTTGGTTTATCCATTTATCCGTTGATGGACTTTGGGGTTGCTTCCACCTTTTGGCCATTGTGAATAGTGCTGCAATAAACATGGGTATGCAAATATCTCCTTGAGATATTGACTTTAACTCTTTCAAGACTATACCCAGAATTAGGATTGCTGGGTCATATAGTAATGCTATTTTTAATTTTATGAGAGGAACTGTCATACTGTTTTCCACAGTGACTGCGTCATTTTACATTCTTGTAAGTAGTGCACAAGTGTTCCGATTTTCCACATTCTCACCACACTTTTGTGTTTTTAAAAGTCATAGCCATTCCAATAGTTTTGAGGTGATATCTATTTGTGGTTTTGATTTGCATTTTTCTAATAATTAGTTATCTTGAGTTTCATATGCTTAATGGCCATGCGTATATCATTCTTGGAGAAATGTCTATTCAAGATTTTTGCTCATGTTGTTGAACTGTAAAAGTTTTAAAATTAATTTATTTATTTATTTTTGCAGTGTTAAAGATTAGCATTTGTTTATTTTTCAAAGCAGCCCATGGTAAATAAAGGAGGTTTAAGATCCTGGACTCACCAGCAATTATAGAGCAGAGTCATGAGTGTGGGTCCTAGGAGTCTT